ACATCTATCCTAAGAGTGGCTCTCTCACTTGTGTTAATCAGGTTGAATTATGCATAATGTGACATATAGTTGAAAAGAAGCGTTTTAATCTATGTTATGCTCTTTGTGATAAGATGCAGAGCAATCTTAAGAAATTACCCTATGATTTGGAGTTGACTCCTATTTTTGAGTTTCTAGGAGTAGATTTAGAAAAGAAGAGGTGCTACAATGTTTCAAAATTAGATAGTGACTCTTTGAAATTGAAAGAGGAAGAAGATGAGGAAGAAAAAGAAAAAGAAAGCAATCTTAAGAATTTACCTCTATTGATTTGGAAGTTGTGACTCCTATTCTTTGAGTTTGCGTAAGGAGTAGATTTTATGAAAAGAAGAGGTGCTACGATAAATGTTTCAAAATTAGATAGTGACTTGCTTTGAATATATTGTAAAAGGAAGAAGATGAAAGGAAAAAAAAAGAAAAAGAAGAGGTTATTAGGAAAGAAAACAGAGTTGAGAAAGAAAAAATAATTAAAAGACGAAAGCAGTTTGAAAAAGAAAATTAAGTATAGAAAAGAGAAAGCTGAGGGACAAGAAGAAAGAGAGGAGATTATAAAAAGAAAAAGGAAAGTTACGAAAGAAGAGAAAAAAAGAAAAGTGGAAGAAATAGAATTTTAGAAAAAGAAAGAGTTGAGAAAGAAAAAATATAAAAGAAGAAAGCTAGTTTAGAAAAAGAGAAATTAAGTATAGAAAAAGAGAAAGCTGAGGGAAAGAAGAAAAAGAGGAGATTATAAAAAGAAAAAGGAAAGTTAGAAGAAGCAGAAAAAAAGAAAGGGGAAGAAATAGAAAAAGAAAAAGGAAAAGAATCTGAATCAGAAATAGAACCAGAAAAAGAAGAACAAGAAAAAGAGAAAGGAAAGGAAGCTGAAATTGAAACTGAAGCGCCTCAAGATAAAAAGGAATCTATGGATATTGGAGTAAATGAACCTGAGATGGCAAGAAAGGATGAGGAAGAAGTGGTAGTTGAAGATGCTAGTGATGCTGAAATTGAGAAATTAAAAATAAGTGATGAAAAAGAAAATGACATTGAAACTTAAGCCATGAGGACTCCAAAATACATCTCAGCACAGAAGAGTATAGAGGCAATGTTGAACAAAATAAAAAAAGATCTTATTGAAGAGCACAACAGGGAAATTGAAGAGGCCATCAAGCATAGCTTGTGGTAGCACACACTCAGTCTCTCATCGAGTCTATGGAAAAAGTGAAGAATGTCAATGAGAGAAGACTTGCTACTCTCAAAGTTAAGGCTATGCCCTACATTCCTACTTTTGAAAAGCCTAAAGGAGTTAAGCATAATGCTGGAAGGCATAGAGTTCATGGAAGAAAACATCCTCTGCACCCTTCTTCTAAAAGATCTAAAAATCCAGTTGAGACCTCACCTACTCAGAACCTCAAGAGTTCTAAAAAGCCCAAAATTGAATCAGAACCCTAGTGACTCCTTCCCAACTTGTTCTAATTATGTGCTTTTGTTTTGTTTTGTGAACACTTGTTTATTATTTTTTTACTATATTTTCTATTTGTGTTTGCAATTTGTTTTATTGCATTCTGTTTAAAATTTTCTACCTCTATTTATTTTTTGTTTTAATTTTTATTTTGCTCTGATTTGCTAACCGTCTTTTATGATGACAAAAAGAGGGGCAACACATTACACTTGAGTGCTTGGAGGAGAACACAATATATTTATTTAAGTACTTAATCTCTTTGCTTATCATGTTCTAATCTGTGGTATTTTTGTTCTAATGTTTCATTTTTTATGTGAACAGAATATGCTTTGTATGCTCTAATTGTTGGACTTTAGAACTCAGTTCTAATTCTAAAGTCAATTTCTAAATTTGTGTTCTAATCCCCACAGCTCTTATATTGCACTTATTTAGGGGGAATTTAATATAAGTCTTAATCTTGCTTCATGATAAATATGTTATGTTTAGCACTTGTATTTTATTAACATACATAAACTTAGGAGAACACATATTTTTATATTTGATAAATTTATTAGTTCTGTCACCATTAAAAAGGGGGAGATTGTTGGCTCAAGGGTCAATTTTATCTTGAGATTTTGATGATGATGTAAAAGAAATAAATTTAATGTTCTTGTATGTGCTAAAGTTATTTTATGCAGATTTTTAATATAAAAATTGCTAAAGAAATTAAGCTCCTACAATCCAAGATTCTTTAAAGACCTTGAAGATTTTTGAAGATCTTATAGTGGTTAGTATCTTAGGAAATATTGTAAGATAGAGAGAATATTCCTTAATAAGCACAAAAATATTTTATCTCTCTTAAAAATCATTTTAAGATATTTTTGCAAATTTCCCTAAAAAGAAAAAGCCAAAATCTTTACTCTTTTAATTCCACTTACCTAAATGAAAAAGATCTTGACAAAAATAATTTTTCGCAACAAATGAATGAGTATATAAAAGATTCCCGTGCATCATCTATTTTTGGAATGTCAAAGATACTCATTGAAGCTAAAGATCAACGTCTTTTATAAAGAGGATTTGTATTCCTCTTATAAAAACCTTTTTCTTTCTTTGAAGATGAGTGGTTTTTGTAAAAGTAAGAGTCCATTGATTAAAAGTTTCAGATCTCTCGAGGCTCTCTCTTCAATCCCCCTTTATTTCATTTCATCTATTTGCTTCAAGAGATATCCTTTTAAGAGAAAAGAAAACTATTAACAACTATTTCTGAAGAACAAATTTGAACCTTATTTCTGTGTTCAAAATCTACTCTCTATTCTTCCTATGCTTATAATTGTGTTTCTTTCTATCTATATAGATTCTTGTAATCTGTTGTAAACTAACTAGAGGTTTTTAAACGAAAAACTTTTGTGTAACAGCTTAGGTGAAAAGCTGTGTAGTAAAAGGTTATCCAGTGACCTTCTCCTTGTGTAAGATTCTAATGTCTTGATGTGAGTTTTCTGTTCTCTGCAAAATAGAAAGGGTAGAGGTGACTAGAACTTTTAGAAAACTAGTGGGACAAAGGTTAGATCTAAATGTTGATATATTTCCTTGTAAAGTTGGTTTGTCTCTTACCCTTGAAAAGAGATAACATAGTGGAGGATCTCAATATGAGTCTTGGCGAGTGGATGTAGATGAGTTAGTGCCGAACCACTATAAATATCTATGTTTATTTGCTTTCATTTTCTGAAATGTTGCTTGATTATATTTTGTTTATACATCTTTTAATCTTTTTAGAAATATAAAGTTGTTTGAGTTTTTTATTTTAAATGTGAATAAGTTTTATCTCTGTGGAACATTAGAACTCTGGATTTCTATATTGTGATTATACCAAGTTTTAATCTGTCCTTTTATATTCGGTATAAATTAAAATTTGAGTTATAATCAGTTTTCTAATCTTGCATAAGCTTTGTGAAGTAGTTCTAAATATAATAATTTTTCTTCACAGAGTCTTTCTAATTTTACAATAGCTTTGTGAGAAAGTTCTAAACTTGATAATTGACTCTCACAAACGATTTCCAATTTCGCTGTAATAGAATTCTAATCTTATGTTTTGAAAGTCAAATTTTTGGAAAATCCAATTCACCCCCTCTTAGGTTGTGCTATATATAAACAGGACCCACAATTTATTTGAGTAATTTGATATTAGTGGATATTATTTAACATTTTCTTTGTGAGTCAGATGAAAAGAGTCACTATTTTATTTTATTTTATTTGCAATTAATATTCCTAGAAGAATATAGTATTTTTATTGTTGAAACATGGTTGTAAACGTTAATTCATGAGCTATTAAATGTAAAATGATATATTTGAAACACATGGTTTGTAAAACGTTAATTCATGAAGCTAATTATAATGTAAAATGATATAATAATATATATATATTATATATTATATATATATATATATATAGTGAATTGAATTTGTTATTGTTGAAATATTGTTCTATATTTTGACTTAGTTTAACAACTATATATATAGTGAATTGATTTGTTATTGTTGAAATATTGTTCCTATATTTGACTTAGTTTAACAATGAAAGATTTTGATTAATGGAATAAAGAATAATGGAAGATTTTATTGCTTGAAGAGATTTTGAATTAGGAGAGTCGGCTGAGAGATTTTGAAGGAGAGAGGAAGAGAGAATGACGAGTTCAGGAAAGAGATGGTGAGTTGCAAACAGAAGCAAAACGGTGAGTATGGTTCTAACTAACAGTGGGTTAGTTAACTGATATGGGTCCCACTTTAATTGTTTTTTAATATTAATTTTGACCAAAGGGCTAAATAAGGTGCAATTGGACATAAATTTCAAATTTGGATGGCTTAAGGGTTAAGTTTAAAATAGAGTAGAAAAGTTTGAGGTATTGCAAATGGATTAACCTAAATTTTTAAACTATCATGTCAATTGTTTTTTTTTAACATTGATGTTTAGAGGTAATCTGGGATGAAAAAATTGCATAGACCGACTTCATGGCTCCATTTATGAACTAAACAAATGAAATTAAAAATTTTTTAAAAAATCTTCCAACTTTATCTTTTTTTTTTTTTTAAATGTATGATCAGAAATACCCTCATTTCAATAATGATATTTAATTTTATTGATTTGGTTCATAAGTGAAGTCATAGACCCAGTGTAGATAAGTTTTCTTAACCTTGGATTAATCTTCCCCATCATATTAGAAAATATGAATAGCATTCTCATGCTACTCTTCACCGGATCCAATCTATGTATACATATGAGCTCTGATTTTTGCAAATTAGACTAATCCAGTTGATATATCAAGATCATAGCCCCACCATTATCTATATATGATGGAATCAACTTGGAACTGTAAGTCGCCACAATAACTAAAGTATAGATTCCAGCATATGATTCTTATTTTTGTGATTACCTGTAGCCGTTGAATAATTGAGCCGTATGTTACGTGAAAAGGATAGTGGTCACATGGACATGATCCAAGTTATTAACATTATAAAAAGGAAAACAAAATACACATCCAAGCACATGACACACATATCAAACACCACTCAAAAATTCACACCAAATAAAAGATTACATACATAGCCATTTGAGGTATAATATTCCCCATGAGGCCACTAAAAAAAAGTTAGAAAATTACAGTAGAATTACAACTCCAACCCCAAATTAAAATTCTGATACGGGGAAGCTAATTCCAGTCCTGATTGACTGTAGAAATTACATGTATGGGTGGCTTATAATCACAATTGCGTGATTTAAATTTCTTTCTTGGAGCTTCAACTTCCCCTTTTTAAAAAAAAAAAAAAATTCTGATAGACAGTGGAAGGAAGATGGAATAGGTGGACCCAATTCTACCTCTTATGCAATACAAGTATCTCACTCACACAGGCTGTTAAAAAGAAAGTCTCCCCAAATAATGGAAGTGTGATAAGGTCACATGGAAAGAAAAAGTAGCTGACATCCACACATGCTATTGCCTCCCAATTGCACATGCAGCCTGTCTCCTCCACCACCGGAGCACTATTCCCAACCTTTCTTCTCTCTAATCTATTTCACCACACTCAAACTGATCAAACTATGATTATCAAAAAGAACAAATGAAAACCCATCACTCAAGTCACAAAACTACTCTAATTCTTAAGAAAGTCGACCTTATATTAGACAAATCCTTTGCTCTACATATTATACACAAACCATCAATTAATTGATTCCCAGTTAGATATATATATATAGGGTCAACGACTATATATTTATCTCCTTTGATGTCTTTGTTATTAATTTTTTTGTTGTCAAAAGTTATAATTTTAGTTATAGGTTTTGTGGTTAGGTGGGCCGGCGAGCTGCCAAAAGGGTGCAGGGAAGATGCCGGTGGCAAGTGATCAAATGGTCATTGGTCAAGCCCGCAGCTTGCATGAATGAGTGAACCACTGTTGGACCCACGTACCTAAACCCTCTCCTCACCATGTCTTTGCTTATACTCTCTGATTTTGAAGTCTTGACAGGAATCTTGTGTCCGAATTTGTACTGGGTTGAGATAGCCTTGTTGTTCACGAATGCCCATATGTATTTTTCAAATGATCCGAACTGCTTCTTAATCTGCCATCAAATGACTCTTTCTTAATAAATTAAACAATTAAAATTAGAGAATAAATAAGTTGACGCGGAGAGTAAGGGTTTTTAAGTTTTTAAGTAAGATAAAATTGGTAAAAACCACTATTAATTTCAATTTTTGTCCCATATTTGAAAACTAGAATACTCGATTTTGCATAAATTTGACGTGATCAAGTTTGAAATATACTGTGAAGTCTCAAATTCGACTTTCCAATTTATGAATGTCATAAAAGATATGGTAAATTAAAGAAATATTGTGAGTCTAAGTTTAAAATGGATTTAAAAAAAAGAAAACAAAACATGAAACAATAGTTCAAATATAAGTAATGATGGGTCCTGTTCCTATATATATTTTTTTCCACCAAAAAGGAGAAAAAACAAAAAGTTGCATTCTTTCTTGATTATAGATGGATAAATGCTCTTAAACATGTTTAGTTCATCAAATAATTAAAAAAATAGTTACTTTTGAAGTTTGAAAAAGGCTAAATTAAGTTTTTAAGGGAAACAATGGAAATAGTGAATCAAACAGTGACTAGTTTATAAATATACCTCAAGGATTCGGTTAGCGTTGTCAACTACACCTCGAACTCGGCTTATTTCAATGCCATGTTCTGTGCTGATAGAAATTATTTGTTTTTCAGTGATATTAGCCACTGTTTCTGCTTCAAACCCTGAAAATGCATCCCTGAAAGCTTGGCGTTTCTTCAAGATTGAAGTCCAATCTGAGCCAACCTGAGCACCACTTAGCACCAGCAATTCAAATAATAACCTGACCACCACAAATTTTAAGAATATATGAAAAAGTTAGTCAGTCATAGCAATTTTATGAGCGAGAGCTTATGAAAAAAAAAAAAAAAAAACTTTGGCGTTTCTTCAACGATTGAAAAGTCCAATCTAAGCCACTCGAGCACCAACTTAAGGCAACCAGCAATTCAAATAATAAACCCTGACCACCCACAAATTTTAAGAATATATGAAAGAAGTTAGTCAAGTCATAAGCAATTTTATGAAGCGAGAGCTTTTTATGAAAAAAAAAAAAAAAAAAAAAAAAAATGATCAGAAACTTACTTGTCATCATGTACAGGAACTCCCCATTCTTCGTCATGGTAAGCAACATAAACGGGATCTGACCATAAAACAAGATTGTGAGATTGAAAATAGTTAGTAATAACATATTTATATCCTCCATTATGGAACGTAAGATAACATAACATTACGATAGAAATACATTTGATTACATTACATTATGATTCTCGCCAAATAAAAACTTAGAGAAAAAGTAAAGTCTTATTAATTATATAAACCAATAAATTTTTAATTATTGGTTGTTAATTAAATTTCAATATGAAATAGTAAGATTACCTGAGTTTGGTGTAATAAAACTGCATCTCTTCTCTTCCTCATCATGTTTTGAATTAGGCTCATTGATTGAAGAATCAATAGGAGCAAATTTGGGTTCAAACTTGGCAGACTTTGATCTTCCATAATGAGCAATTCTCATTTTTCTTTGTGCATGTTGAAATGCCATTTGTTCTCTTCTCACTGCAGCAATACTTCCTGGAGCCTCAACGATCAAAGAAGAAGGATAACTCAATGATGCCTCAACAGAAGTAGATGAATAACTGCTTTCTTTAAAACTTTTAGACTTCTTTCTATCTAAACTGGGCGCTTTTATGGTGTTTCTTGGAATCAAAATCTTCTCATCAGAACTCGAATTCAGTCCATTAGGATCACTTCCTCTCTTGATTGCAGGTGGTCTAGGCGACTTTGACTTTGGGGATGATGGAGCAGTCAGTGGTGGTGGAGGAGACTTTGATGGTATTTTTTTAAGAGAATTAAGCCTTTCGAGGGTAGGAACACGGTTACAAGTAGGCTGAAGGACTGGCCGGCCGTTGATTTTGGCCACTGTCGGAGACATTTCGACACCGGTGGTCACCTTAGCCTTAGAGCTGCACATTTTAGTTTGCTGGATTGCAAGAAGAAACAGAGGAAATTGAAGAGGTGTTTTGAAAGAGAGAGGGATTAAGGAGAGGGTTGTGGGTTATATATAGAAGAGGAGGAGACGAAAGGTTGTAACATGGAGAGGTTGGTATCTGCCATACAACTTATTTTGAAGAGCATTACTTTTTGTTAGCTAGACCACGAGGGATGACCATGACATGCTTCTAGCTTTGCCACTTGGCATTGCTTAATTATAACTAGAATTTTTTAATTTAATTATGTTAAAATAAATGCATTTATTATTATTAATACATTTGAATTATCTTAATATAATTTTAAAATGTAACCATCATCATGAACTCTTTCTTTATATAAGATCCAGTTTCCATTAACAATGGCAAAACTCTATTACTAAGTTATGAAGATATTTTATTTTAAGGTAATATTCTAATCTTGACTCGTTGATATTTTGATTTTAATTATATTCACAATTTAATTTTTAATCTAATATGATTAATCATGTGTCTGGTTGATTTTGTTACTAATGCGAAAAGTAAAGACTTTTACGTTTCAATTCTTTCAAATATAAAAATGTTCACAACTTAATAAGCTGAAAGGAAAGATTATCTTTTTAATGTAACCCACAATGTTAATCTAATCCATTAACCTTCTAATTTTTACTTCTGGTACTAAAGAACAAATAATCATTAATAATAATAATAATAAAACCTTTTTAAAAATTGTTATCACATGATCATTCGAAAAAATACATTAATGAGTTTACTTTTTCATGTTATTATTAAGGAATTATAAATCTATTAATCTCACATTAATAGATGTATTTTTTCATTTTTTGTAAATTATTTATTATTGGAGATACTATAAGTTTCCTTCTCATGCGACCATACCAATAAATTGAATACAAATATACAAAAGTATTAATGGTTAACCAAAAAAAAAAAAAGATAAATACAAGAATAAAAAGAATGAGAGAGAGAGACTGAAGGAGTGTTGTAAAGGGGGGATTTGTTGGTTGGGTGGTGTGCTTGAGAATACAAAAATGGTTTTACTTGGAAATTGTCATATATTATTATTGCATGACTCTCTTAAGCTAGGCTGGAGTGGTGGATAAGGAAGGTAACACTGCAAGAAAGAGACCAATCATTGATCTATTCTTTTTAGCTGGAGGGAATATCTCTAGTGAATGAATGAAAGGCAAGACATCAACTTTCATGTGTTTCTTTATTTCTTTAAAGGAGCAAAATCATCAACTTTTTGTGGTAAGCACAAACTAAAAACCTCTTTAGCAGTTGAGTTTGTTATGATTCAATTGCTGTATGACTTGCAACTAATCAATCAAAGTTGAAATTGGATTATTTAATTAATTACCACAGTTTGTGGGATTATTATAGCAATACTTTATATTAAGAGCGTAAATGAATTATTTAATTCTCATACCCATCTCCAAATGTCGAGATATAAAAAATAAAATTTATATTTTGTCCCATTAAATATAGATAGTTCCACCATTGGAATGGAAAATTCGTGTTCAAAAGACACAATGAAATGAAATATGTTTGAAATTAACCATAGTTTATCATATTTTTATTAATTTTTTAAATTAAAAAAGATAAAGTGATATAGTTATTGCTTGCTATTAAATAAAATTTTTAGTAAAGGTAAACGTAACATAAATACAAACTATTTTAATTATTAATCCGTTAATAAGAGACTCAAATTGTTACTTATTGGTCAATGAGGGCATCAAGGCCATGTTCATTTAAAGGTTTTCATCATAATTCACCCAACTAATGTACGATTCATATCCAACAACTAATTTATAGGTATTTGATAAATTTTTTACTCAATGGCTTATAAAAGTCCTACACAACTATTAATTTTATCAGCTATATTTTAGAGTTTTTTCGTACTAGCTGCTAGCTCATTTGAATATTATTTGGATTCCATTAACATAAGAAAAATAACTACTAATAAAATTTATAAATTAATATCTTGATGATCATTTTACTTATAGTTATTTAAAATATAATCTTTATTAAACATTATTAAGAATTCAAACTAATATTTTATTTATACAGTATATTAAAGAAAGAAAATAATATATTCACTCAAACTAAAATATTTTATTTATCCAGTATATTAAAGAAAGAAAATAATAATTCACTTTAAAATAATATATATATATCTATATATAAAATATATATATTAACAAAAATAGTATATCGTGATTGTCATTTTTAAAAATTATCTACTTTTACCAAAATGTTACATCAACTAATCCATTATCAAATATATAACAAAAATAAGTATATCGTGATTGTACATTTTAAAATTATCTACTACCAAAATGTTATCATCAACTAACCATTATCAAATATCCATTGGAATGAATAAGGGTGTCAAAAAGATCATGAAACTCAAACGCGATTTGCCTAATATACGAAATAAATGGGTTAAGTTGAAATTAAATAGCTTCATGCTATAAACGAGTCATCCATTTATGACACGAATATAAACGTGTTGTATCACAGATTAACATGCAGATTATGAAAGTGACCTATTTATTAAGTAAAGAGGTAATTTTAGTGTCAAATATAAATATTTCAACTAATAAAACCTATTTAAACTTTACTGTTGTATTAATTTTTTTTATTTTAATCATCAATCTCAATATACATTTTATGTATCGAAATTTATTTTAAATACGATTTGAGATAAATTGGTTAAAACTTAAAAATATTATAAATAGGTTAAGTGGGTCGTGTATAAATCACATGTCCCACTTAACCTATTTATGATATTAGAAGGGTTATGCGGGTTTTACATGGATCAACACGGGTTACACGTGTCGTGTTCATGTCACCTATCTAATTTTCATATCATGTTCGTGTCAACAAATTTGACACGATTATTAAATAGGTTGTGTTTATTTTAACTCTAATCATGTCGCGTGTTAGGCAAACCCATGTCAAACCCAACACGCCAACCCATTTTGATACATCTAGGTATGAACAAGTAATATAAATAAGCCTGTGTTTTGAGTAGGCCAAAACACTACTCCTATTTGTTATAATATTCGGTATATAACCTTATATTAATATTTCGAGTTTGAGAGAGTGATTATGGAATATTTTTTACCATGTCCAGCAACAGCTTTTGAGCTAGACTCTATGGTGTTGACCAAGTCAAAACTTTATCTCTATTAATATTACTATTTGGTAACATAAATTTTATAATAATTTTTAGAGATTTAGTGAACTTTTAATGAAATATTAAACATTTTAATGTTTAGAATTTTACATATATTAATTTTTTTTTTTTACAATCATACTTATTGTTCTTTTTACTGAATTCATCTAATTAAACATCTAATGTTTTTTTTTTTTTGTCATTTTAAGTCAACAGCTTAAATAAACATTTTTGTAGAGCACTTTTTTAATTTAAATCGTTATACAAATAACTACTAACTACAAGCTAACAACTACTAAAACAGTTAATATTACTAAACAGACCCTTTAATATTTAATAAAATGTTAATAAAAAAACTAATAACTACTCCAATAACTAATAGCTATTAAAATAAATAATTTTACTAATCAGACCTAATTATCATAAAGCAAAATAATTATAAATATATAGTGCAGTTTTAATAAGGAGGGATAAAATGGATCCACCAACCTTTTCAAATAAATATGGCCAACATAAGCTAATGTGAAACACATTTTCAGTTATTAATTTCACATTTTGAATAAGAAATAATTAATGTACATTGCAATATGAAATGTGATCATTATTTCAGGACAAGGAAACGATGTAATGTGGGCTCCTCAACATAAAATATCAAACTCCTGTCTTTTAATTCCTCAATTAGATCATATACTCTATGTGGGAAATAACTAAAATTTATATTTTTGAGAAAACATTAGTCAGCAAATAAATAGTCATTAATTTAAATGGTGAAATATTCAGTATTTCTTTTCCTTAAAGGACTATTCACAGATTAAATAATAAGTAACATTTGCATCTGCCTTTATTTCCCATTTTTATTTTTATTTTTTGAGTAAAAAAAATTAATTTACTCATGTCAAAAAAAACTTAATTCAGAGAACCTTAAATCACTTTATCAATGAATTTTTCTCGAAAAATACTAAACTTTGCAGATTTTTTATCTTTGAGAAGAAAAAAAAAATCCAAATCAAATCAAAAATAGATTAAAGTTTCCTCTTCTTGCATTAGCTTAGGACAAAATTATCGACTTCTGGTTACTTATAAATAACTTTGGAAAGCAGAGGTAAGCTTTATCCGGTTTTGACCAACAAATCAAACCAAATTGTCTTAATTGGAAATTTTAGTTTGATTTGAAAATTTTGATTTTTTAGTTATTTCAATTCGATTTTTTTTTATTTAAAAAATTCTTAAAAAACCGAACCAAATTGAAATTAAAATATATCATATTTTTAATTAATATGATGAGAAAGTAAACATATTTACATTTTAATAACATTATTTTGGTGGACATTTGTTGTGCTAATAAAGTTAAAAAAAGTTACGAGGTGAGAAAGAACAAAGGGCTAAAGGGTACGTGAGAGAAGTAACCTTACTTGCAAGTTAGGCATTTCCCATAGATAGAAATGACTACTTTTAACTCACTGGTAATTTCAATCCACATATTCCATATTGGCTTGCCCTTCAACCATAAGATTGCAAGAACCTTCACAAAAATAAAATAAAAGAAATAAAGATTGTAACAGAAATTTACATCTTCCATATAAAAATAATAATTCATCGCTTAGGATCTGTTCAGCAAAATTAATTGTTTCGCTAATTATTAATATTTTAATAGCGTTTAATTAATTGTTTAAATAACTAGTTGTTTGAGTAACTTTCATAAAACACTAAAAAAATTAAAGGTTACATGTGTTAACCTTTTATACAACGCTACCTTAACCTGTAAAAGCTAGTTCAAATATTATATTATCGTACACTATACAAAATAAGGTTTAACGTTTTGATTGGCTACTTAAAAAGTTGTTGCCGAATCCAGTCTTAAACTAACAAAAAGCCAAATTAGTGATTAGGGATTAAATAATAATTAACTGTAGAAAAATATATTATTTTATCA